TGGAATCAAAAGGGGAGTCTTTTTTAACACGGAATGAGTATGCCTGCTCATGGACGATTCTTTTCGCTTCAGTGCTTTCAAGTGATCCGCATCTTGTATATGCTGTCATGTTTCAGGTTTGCCTCCCTAAGGGCAGAATTGCAGCATTAAATGTTCAGGTTGTAAACTGCAACTTACTGAAACAGCCCTACTGAAACGGCCTTACTGAAACGGCCTTACTGAAACGGCCTTACTGAAACGGCCCTACTGAAAAAGAGATTAAACAGCCTCCAACGTGTAGCTGTTGAACAGTGGGCCATGTAAGAGGTTGGGTAGTATGCTCTAGCACACTAGCGTACAATACAATGGCCTGTGTGCTTAGATTTAGGTGCATGTTAAAGAACCCCAGAGATTCAAATTTTCCGGAACCCTCTACTATGGCATCTCTCATAATTATATGGTGGTTTTGGGACCCCAACAACACGTACAGTACAAGCAAGTTGTGCCTATAAATGGCTTTTGATGAAGGTTGGCAAGAGTAGGCCTTGGTACAGGGGTAGTCAAAATTTGAGAGTGCAGGAACGTGTGCCACACAGCATCGCGGTCTTATAATGGCTACTTGCAAAGCTTGAGAGTGAGCACTGCGCACGTGCATCCTTACCTGCCATCCTGTTATTTCACTTCCTTCAAGTGCAGTCACACCAAAACGCCATAAAAAGTGCAATGTGCCACTACTGCAGCAACCACAGAAGCAGTAAGTGCTGAAATCGTGACAAAAATGTGTAACTTGTACAGTGCTCAGTGCACATCGCTTCTACGCTTAGTTCATGGTAACAAAAACATGTATATGGCATTTTTAGCCAATATAAAGCACAAGAGACATTGCTGCTTGGCAATCTTATCACGTATGTCGATAGACACCATTTGTGTGTGCAATTTCAAAAGCGACAGGCACTTTTTGTGGCGTTCTGGTGTGCAGGCACTTGAAAAGAGCGAAAGAGCAAGTTGGCAAACGAAAAAGAATGCGCATGCACACTGTGCACTCGCCAGCGTTGCAGGTCAGAAGGCACAGTGGTGCTGTTTGCCGCGCGCACTTGTGGTCGCTGAAATTATGATCGCCACTGTGCATGCTGATTCTTAAAGAAAGCTGTGCTAAATCCAGCGAAGAAGGAGAGGAAAAAATGATAAATTATGTCCACAAAAGCATTGCTAATCATTTCAGTGAGTGTAACAGATCAGCTAATAATTTTTCATATGTATTAGAGTAATTTCTTTCTTTTTTTTTTTCAACTGCAAAAGCAGTTAGCTCTACCCATGTAACTGTAAATGAGCTCATTTTTGGTGCTTTTACGATATAACAGCTTTATTTGAAGATGTATTAGTCTCGAAATATAACACAGATTGATCACTGTGTAACCTGATAATTGATGGTCTCAATAGAAATAAAGCAGAAATTATTTGCTCAAACAGTTCTAGACAATTATGTGAACGGTCGAAGCAGCTTCATGAAAAACAATCATGAAAATCATTTACAATTTACATATGAAAATGCTGCTAGGAATATATATGAAAGTTACAAAATATATGCCTTGTTGCAAGTTTGATTTCTCATTTTAGAAGGCAGAAATATATCCTTATATTTATGTGATGGTGTGGTGTATCGGTCAGTGTTCACATGTAATGTCTGGAAGCCGTGGCTTGGCAACTATAAAAGCAGGTATACTTGCATATAGTGCAGGGAGATGTTTTTTTTGTAGTTTTTCTTCCTGCAAGCACCTGGTTCCTTTTTTTTTTTTTTTCTCCATTAGCACGGCCAAACTCAATGGTCCTAAAAATTGAAACTCAAAAATTATAAGTAATGAAAGTATGGGCACAACTGTTCATTTTTCATGTTGGGGATTATCTGCAAGCATCCTTGTATATAATTATCATTCTCAAGCAGCTTGGACCTGTGAACAAGCTGGTCTAATTGTGCACACTGAAGCCTTTAAATATTTGAACAGTATTTGTTAAGCACTTTGAAGTAAGCTAAAGCTGTGTGGGGTATTTTGTAGTAGGAAATGCAGTAATACCTCGTAACTCAAAGTTGTAAAAACCAAGGAAAATTTCAGGAAGTGGATTTTCGAGATAAGCTAAATTGCTGAAATGTCAGAGAAAAATCTAGTGCTTTACAGAAAAATCTGTACTACTTACCGGCTCTTCAGCAGCAAATTCTAAGTTTCTTCTCGCCAAGGTTTAAAAGTGAAAAAAAACAAAACAACAACATAAAAAAAAGAACATTAATTCGCTGGATTTTTTGGCACTGTGATGTTATGTAGCAGAGAAAAACTGCCTAATGCTCGTGTGCTTTGCGGTTTTACTTGGCCCAGGAAGACATCTTCCAGCTGCTCAACACATCGCATTAGCCAATCTTCCTCGCTGCAGTACTCCGCTTTATTTCGAAGCAGGCTCATCAAATTTCTCATTTCGGCAGATGTCGGCCCCTATCAAGGAGGTTCGTCATCACCGTAGCCTGCGTTAGTGGTTATTTAAATGATTTCGGCATTCTAAATCATTCAATTGAATGATTTCGGCGCGAATGATCATTGCTCATTCTGCTTGGACAGCTCTTACTCGAGAAAAGCCAAGTCACTTTTAGCTGCACTGTCACCAGTAAGCTTTATGACCTCTTGACAAAGTTCCTCACAGTCTGTGAAGTGATCTGTTTCCACTTCTGGCAAACTGGGGGCACATGAAATCCCAGCATGTGCAAAGAAGTTGGCAATAGCCGCCGTGCTAACTTGCTGCCAAGTGCTGCTGAGAAGATGCACTGCTTCCAGCAGTCAATTTCGTAGCCTATGCCATCTTCATTCGACAACAATATTCTGTGGAGCAGGCTCTTGCGGTCTATTTTTCAGGCAACTTCGGTGACACTTTGGTCCGTTGCTTGCAGCACAGACGTCATGTTTGCCGGCAGAAACTTGACTGTTACTGCTTCCGAGTTCTTTATTTTATTATAACCTGGGCAAGTGTGCACAATGAACAGGACTTTCCTGTTTTTCTTGGCCATCTTGTTATCTGTAGAGTGAACGTGCTGTTTGAAAAAAGTTGCTGTCATCGACGCTGCTCTGTTGGCACGATAGATAACGCCATTCAGAAGTTGTGCATTTCTAAAGCACCTAGGCGTCACAGCTTTGCTGACTGCAACGGCAGTTTTTGTTCACTTGTGGCATTTGCCCCGAAAAGAACTGTTAGTGTCCTTCCGTTGTTTCACTCTCGAGCACGCTCTGCCCTTCAGTGTGAAGGTGTGGCTCGACAACCTTTTATAAAAGGGAACTGCCTCGTCAAGGTTGAAAATGTCTCTGTTGGCGTAACTCTTTTGCCGCTCTGTAAGCCGGCTCCCTGTGCCAGTTGTCTGCAGTGGTTGCATTGACAGTTCCACTCTCGCCAGGCACAGACTTTGATTCCCCCACTGTTGTTGAAGTCTGTGTGACCCATTTGCAAGACCAGAGTGTCTGCCTTCTCCATCATTAACTCTATGGTGATTGGAAGGTTGGCTGCTCTGGCATTTCGCAGCCACATCATCTTCTGGGAATTTGGGGTCTCAAACCCGTTTCCGCTGGCTGAAGAAGCTTTGCTGAAATTCATCCAACACCTTCTGCTTGTTTTTCAGCACTGTCGAAAGTGCAGACAAAGGAATTCCGAATTCCCGTGCAATGCTAGATTTTGTTAGGCCTCCTTTCTCCACTTCCTTGATCAGGGCAACCTTCCTTTCTAGGGTTAACTACCTGCACTGCTTTAGTTATGCCATGCTCGCCGCGCTCATGCTAAGTTGCTGCTTCTCACAGTTGGAAGAAAATCTGTACACCTCTGATAGAAAATCACGTGCACTGCAAAACACTAATGAGACCAACTGTGCCAAGCATGGGTAGAGGGCCTGCCCTGCACATGTGCTGCTGATGATGATGGCTGCCACATGACATGCCACAGGCTTGCTCAACAAAGTTGATATAGCGCTCCGCTCGGACTTCACATCCACGAAGAGCATCGATGCAGTGGCAAGCGTGGCTAAATAATAATAATAAAAAAAAATCAACAGCCTTCAGGCATGGCAGCATCGTGCAAATCCTGTGAGATCGTTCAGCGGCGAAATTTTCATTCCACTCTCAGTGAAGATTTCGAGATACCGGCAATCTGATCCCAAAATACTTTGAGATAAAGGGCAGCATATACACGGTATGTACAGAAAATAGTTCGGTGCCGCAAAAATTTTAAACTTGCCGATTTTTCAAGATATGCAAGTTCGAGTTAATGAGGTATTATTGTGCAAACATTTTTGCTGGTAGACTTGCAAAATAGGAGGTTGAACTGCTAGACATGCTTTCGCAGAAGGTCTGTCTGAGAGTGACTGTGCACACTTGCGGAGGTGAGAACTCCACACCTAGTCGGACATTCCTCAGAGTAATCAGTGCATATAATATTGAAACAATAATGGTTAAAAGAATTCCACTATCGGAAGAAAACAGTTACAGTCAACATTCAACAAACTGCGTAATCGAAACAACGAAAAGTGGAAACTTGGGCATGCTGGGGGGAACATTGTGCCGCAAAGAAGGACTACTGAAGAGCACACACACAGTACTGTGTGTGTTTTCTCTTCACTACTCTTTTTTTTTGTTGCACTTTGCTTACATTCCTTAAATTGAAGCTAGGCACGTGCTTTTTTGAATATGTATCCATGCTTGAAACATAATTAAAACATTTGTAGAGCAGCATATACACTGCTTGTCAAAAGCTTCTGATTGAAAGGTCTAACAAGGAAAAAAGCTGTCGAATCAAATTGATCTGTTTTTCTTGTTTTAAGTAAGGGAAGAGAATCATAAGCTGAAGAAAAATGCTAAGTCAATTTAGAGAGATAGAACATTAAAAAAAAAAGTCTCTTTCAATTAATTTTGTGGAAACGAATTTATTTTTTTGTTTGTTGTAAAACCCTGTGCCACCATGTAACATGTTACACGTCTATATATTTTGTGTTTGTGCAGGAAAATCAGAAGCTTAAAAACGATAATGGCGTGAAAGACCACAAGATCCAAGGACTTAATGAGAAGATCTGTGACCTGCTGCAGAAAAACCAGAGGTGCGCAGTAGTGGTGTTCATAGACTTGCCTTGCGAGCAGCACATGGACTAACCATGTCATGTAAGGTCAGGTTCACAGTACAAAGAGGAGTTTTTTATAGAGCTGTATGAATAACGAAATTTTGGGTGCGAAAGGAATGCAATTATTAAAGTGTGAGTGCAAATTGATTAAAATATTTTTCAAATACTTCTCAAATATTTCTAGAATACTATTGTTTGAATACTGCAAAGTGAAATTGCATGACAAAAAAAAAACTAGGAGAAGATTTCTAAGCATATTCTCGGAGAGAGCAATGTGCAAGTGTTTCTTTGGTTAAGTTTTATCAAACACTGGTGGGGTGGCGTTTCATAGTTGTCTTAATAGGGGGGGGGGGGTGAGTGATTTTAAATGAAAAAAGGAGAAAAGTGAGCCCCGTAACTGTATCTCGGGGGGAGGACACCTCAACAGTAGCTCACAAGGGGTGGGGGTAAAGGAGGGACTAAAGGATAGGATAGGATTAAAAGGTAAAGAGATAGAGGAAGGAGAGAGTGGGGCGCAGGGACAGCGAACGACAGTAAGGAGAAGATAGGAAAGATGGACACGGTCGTAGGAGTCGGAGGACAGGACACCACTCTGCGAGAGCCCTTGTCGGCGTCAGGAGATGGCGTAGGACGAGCCCTGTTGGCTAGAGCTGCGCCTTCGTCGGCGATCGCGGGGGCACAACCGGTCGGCACAAAATCCAGCGAGCGAGCGAGTCCTTATTAAAAAGGAGGCTGTGCAGAGACCAAATGGTATTGATGTACAGGCTCTTTCACACTTTGGGGAAACCTCAAAGCTCGCACCATTGTGATGAGGAGGCTGTGCAGAGGCAACATGGTATTGATGTACAGGCTCTTTCACACTCAGGGGAAATCTCTAAGCTCGTGGCATTGTGATTCACCAATGCCGCGAGCATGGATACATATATACATACATATTCAACCATTCACATATTCAACCATTCACCATCAGCAACTCATGCGTGCGCAGATAATGCAGGAGTGTAGTTTTGAACCCCGTTGTCTGCTATGGCCAGCCCACGAATATTATTGTTAGTATAGGAACTGGGTCGATAATCTGCATGAATCATTGTGCGACGCCAACCTCTCTGCCTTTACTTGTGGTAATGGGTGCTACAAGCAGAATTTGGCAGCATACCTTGTATGCCCTCTCGAAACGCCGTGGTGCTGTGTGCTTTCATGAATATTTCTTCACTGTGTGTGCACCTCAGTACACTTAAATGAGGAAAACACGACAATTAGCATGCAATGTTTCTTCTCTTGATCTGACTACGAATAAAAATAGCACTCAACAGTAAGAGTCGTACTGATGCAGTGGCTTAGCACGATAAAATGAATGGGAACTAATTCGGGAATGCTTCAGGTGAGGACAAAGCCTGAACAGGTCTCTTTACGACATTTCATTGGCACAAGACTCGTTAGCCAGCTCCGAAATGTATAGTTTTTACAGCATGGCTCAATAATCTTGAGTCGCTCTTTTTCTGGCATACAGGACAAGGTAAAGCTGGCAAACAAAGCAGTAAAAAAAAAAAAAATACCCACTGGGGCATCTGCACAAGCAGGCGTTTGGTGTATGGCAACACCACGGACCCCAGCCAAATAGGGGGTTTTGACCTCCTCCCATGCTTCGCCTCGCGTGGCTTAACCCTGTCCGGAAAAAAGGGGATCCTGGAGGTTGAGTCGACGCCTGGTGATTGGACCTTTAAAGCCCCCCGGCAGAGGCAATACACCCCTTTGGCCCCGGCTTCACATAGACGGCACCCCTGGGCTGACCCACCCAGGGGAAATCGGCAGTCGCTTTTTCCTATCTCTCTCCCCTACAACTTCGTCTTTAACTCTCCCTGTTTTATTTTTCCTGTCTACTTCTCTCTTCTGTTTACTTCCGATTTTTCCTGGTGGCAAGGGTTAACCTTGTGTATGTGCTCTGTCTGGGCACAATATATTTTGGTTATAGCCGCTGTGTGCAGCTGACGTTGACATGCCTCGTATAATTTTAGGACCTGTCATGTTCCCGTGTTGGGCTCCATGGTGGGCGGCTGGCATGGCTGCTGAACTTGCAACTATTTTATGGCTTTTACTTCTCTCTCTTCACTCCACAATTGTCCTCTCTTGAAGAGAAGGCGCATCGAAGACATTTGCAATTATTTTAGAAAACCCAAAGCAACTTTTCCCCGCTACCATGTAATTCACTGTAGAACTGCTGAAAAGAACGCCAGAATAATCTCGCCTTTTTTTGTCTCCAAATGCCTCACCACTGCACTTGGTCCAGGTTACCAGGCTACAAGAATGGCCAGTGGGGATCTCCTCATCGAGGTAAAAAGTCAGGCCCAGTATGAAAACCTCTCGAAACTAGAACGTTTGGAAACATCCCTATCTTAATTACACCACACCGTTCCTTCAACATTTCCCAAGGCTTTGTGACCGATCAAGTCTTGCTTGGCCTGACTGAAGGTGAGCTCCTCGAAGGCTGGAAGGACCAGCGGGTGACACAAGTACAAAGAATCAAAATTAGGCGTGATAAAACGGAAGTCCCAACCAAACATATAATTGTGACATTTTGCACCAGTACCCTGCCTGAACATCTCGAAACAGGATACTTGAAGTTAAATGTGGGACCCTACATCCCCAACCCACGACGTATTCCAGCGTTTTGGTCACGGCTCTGAGTTGCTGCGGCCAACTCACCTGTGCAAAGTGCGCCACTACAGGACAGGTCACAGATCATTGTAAGGTGGAAAATGGGGCCCACTTTGCAAACTGCGATGGAACCCACCCCGCATACTCCCAAACAAGTTCAACATGGAAAAATGAATTATAATCACAATCAAAGTCACACAAAACATAACTTTTTGAGAATCCCAACAACAGGTATCTGGTTTTTTCACAAATAAACCATCGTTTGCCGATGTAGTGCAACAAAGGACAGCACTACAATGGCCTGCGGCAGCTGCCCCTGTCAAGCAGTGTGCCCAGGCTGCTGCCAATGCCTCCCCCTACGGTGGGGACAGCCAAGGCTGCCCTGCCACTCGTTCCCACGGCCACACCAGTGGCCGCTGCAGGCCCTTGCAGCAGCCAGGGTAGCCCGGCAGCTAAGGAGGCCCCCTCAACCTCTGGCCCGACGGGACCAAAGGTTTTGCCTCCCGAGGTGAAGGCGACCCCAGGGTCGACAGATATAAAGGCCTCGTCTCACCAAGCGAGGCCCCAAGCTCAAAACACCAGCTCACAAATGCAGGCACGCAGTGTCTCTAAGGAGGCAATGGACACTACGGTACCCCTGGTTCCAAAAGATCGGACTAGCTCCCTGGAGCATGCTAGGTGAAATAAAAAGCCGATAACAGGGCTTGATCATGGCTCTGTTACCCGAGTCTTAATGTCCAGTTTAAAGAGCAGACATACCCATTTTGTACACGCAGCACTACATTACATTGGAACGTCAGAGGACTGCTTGGAAACCTCGATGATGTCCAAGAGCTGTTATACAATCACCAAAACTGCTGTGTGTACAGGAAACACATTAAAAATCCAAAAACATCAATTTTTTGCATCAGTACGTTCTATTTTGAAAGGACAGATGATGCTGCGGTGTCATTTAGCGATGTAGCCATTATTGTTGAAGAGTAACATGCATACATTTACTATTTTCAACAACCCTAGAGCCAGTGGCTGTTCGAGCAGTTCTTTCCAACGAACTCGTCACCATCTCCTATCTGTACATACCTCCACACCACAGTCTTGAAAAACGAGCATTCCAGTCCTTAATAGAAGAACTACCTGAACCCTATCTGGTCCTTGCGGACCTGAATGCTCATAGTGGTCTGTGGGGTGAGTCTTGCTGCGACGCACGAGGTCGTCTCATTGAACAGTTCCTTTTCTCTTCCGGTGTCTGTCTGTTGAATAGGAAAGAGGCAACATATTATAACCTTGCCAACAAAACTTACTCTTCCATAGACCTCAGCATCGCATCTCCTTCACTTGTACCATTACTCCAACGAAAAATTATAAATAATCTCTACGGAAGTGACTACTTTCCTGTGGTTTTGAGTACACCAATATCATATAATGTCCTTCACGTGTTCCCAAACGGCTGAAAAGCCGACTGGGAACAGTTTCATAACATTACTCATTTAAGTTGGACTGACATATGTGGGTTAAGCATAGATTAAGGAGTGCAGTAGTTCACAGCTTTCCTTATTGATTCAGCTGCAGCCAAGTGTATCCCGCAAACATCTGGACTGCCCGGCAAGCGACACGTCCCATGGTGGAACACTTAGTGTCGTAATCCATGAAAGAAACAGAACAAGGCATGGAGGTTGCTTCGAAACTCATTGATAGCCAAAAATCTTGACAGCTTTAAGAAAATAAAGTCTCAAGGCAGAAGAACGCGTCGGCAGGCCAGAAGAGAAAGCTGGCACAAGTTTTTATCAGGGATTAATTCATATACTCAAGAAGCTAAAGTCTGGAACATAGTTGGTAGGGTAGCAGGAAAACAAGTACACAAGCTCCCACTCGTAAACGCACAGGGTGACAGCCTGGAAGATCAGACGAACTTCCTCGGTGGGCACTACGAGCAGGTGTCTAGCTCGTCACACCATACTGAAGCTTTCCAAAGATATAAAGCAAGAATAGAAAAGCAGAAACTAGAACACAAGTGTACAAAATACGAGGCATACAACCAACTTTTTCAACTTAGCTTAGCTGCAAACATCACTGAACTCCTACAGTAATTTTGCCTCAGGTTATGACTGCGTCACATATGAAATGTTGAAAAACATGCCGCTCAAAACGCGAAAAACTTCACTTTCCCTATACAATGCTATTTGGCTTTCTGGCACCATCCCTACTTCCTAGAAAGAGGCTATTGTTATCCCTATTTTGAAACAGGGCAAGGACCCTTCCTCAGTTTCGAGTTATAGGCCCATTGCACTTACAAGCTGCCTTTGTAAACTTTTTGAAAAGATGAT